CTGCACACTCAGCAGACAACTGATCTGCCTCAGCCAATATTTGACCTGCACCTGACAGATCTAGAGGTATTCCAATATCTAAAAATATCCAGCAAACAGATCAATTCGCTCCCTTTTCCGCCTGTAACAGAACCGGTAAAGGGGACGTAGGGGCTTATCTGCTAAAAGGGATGATTACGTCATTCACTGCCTGTCAATCACATAAACAGGGACTGCGTTCCACTGCGAATGCAAAAAAATGCTGCATGCTCCATTTTTTGCGTTCGCAGTGGACCGGAATGCAGGCAATGTTTTGCCACACATCCGATTGACTTCAATACTCTGCCACGCCCCCTCCCGCCAAGAACAAAGGGGGAAGTTTAGTGTGCGATTGCGGTGCGTTCCAGCAGCTACCACTCTGGAATGCACCACAGTTGGTGTGAACAAGCTTACTTGTTCACTTAGCAGGAGTCAACTTGGCTTTACTCCTCTCGGACTGCAAGATTGTATTAAAGGCTAAGTTTAACGTTCATAGGCTTGTTACCCGGATATTCAGGGTGTAGTAAACATGGTCACATTGCCACCCCAACTACTTATTTCCTAATGGAATACAAGTGCAGTGATGTGTTATATATATATATAAAAATATATATGTATACACACACACACACACCTGAGGCGTCCCGATTATCCATCTCTTCAACTGTGCCTTACCTTTTCCGGTAGGGGTGCAGTAAAGCAGGGAGCTTGGCAAATGGTGGCCACCCGCCTGTCTTCCTGATTGGATGGGAAGCCGCAGCCACGATCCCGCAGCTTTCCAGGCACTGGGGACTGCGGCTGTTATGTGAGAAATGTAAGTGGCAAGTGTTGCTGCACTTTGTATCGCTGACCAGGTCACAGAGAGATCTTTGTGATCCTGCCACCGGCACAGTGACTAAAACACAATGGCTGCTGTTGTCGTTTCGGTGTTGCTCTTGAGGTGATTAGGGTGGACAGGAAAAGAGTCAGGAACTATGGTAGGGAGTTCTCGCAGTTGGATTATCTAAGACATATGTGAGGCCAGGGACTAACTGAGGCCACCAGGCTTCACCTATAATTAAGATATTACTTTTGAGTGAGCTGGTCCTTTATTCCACTTCCTTTGTGACTCCAGTGGTAACATTTATCTTTGTTTTGAGTTCTCTGGTCTTTCTATGACCAACGTGCTGGAAATTTTAATGTATCATATATCAAGGAATGAAGAAAGCAACAGGAAGAAAGGGATCATCCCGGGATGGCAGGAATGACCAAAACTTTTAAAAGAAACAGGACTGGAAATGGTGGTAGGAAAATTGACAGATATAACAATCCAAAGTGTGATTGAGCCCACCAGACTCTACTTATAAAGGCCTATTCACACCACATCGTGTACAGTATTGTGGGCATAATGCACTTTTTTTTCTCTATACTTCATTGTCATTATTATGTACAGTATATTGTGATGCATTACAGTGCATCAAAATGTGCTGCACAAAAATGCAACATTTCCTACTTTCTTTCAGTACACACTAGGGATGTACAGATACTTTTCCAGTACCAAAGCCGATACTTGGCATTTTCATGAGAACTACAGAGTTGCAGAGGTTGCAGCTGGGACCTGGCTCTGGCACTCCACCATTGTCCTGAAAGCATTAGTCTGTATTGTTTAAGAAAAACTGTCACATGACCATAAACAAAAATGTATCAGTACTCGCACTTGTAAGTACTCGGCAAGTATCAGTACTCGTACTCGCAAAACTGGTATCTGTGCATCCCTTTATTTATATTTATAAAAACAAAATCATACATTAAAACAGAGATGTACAAATCCCAGGAGCTCCGTGTGCTCCTTACAGATGACAGCGGCCTCCTAATTTTTGAATTTTTCTCTAGTGTAGTCTTGGAGCTCAAAAGTATCGGTACATGTACTCGTACTTGTACCGAGTACTGTACTTGGTATCTGTGCAACCCTAGTACACACCAATACAGCGCATATTGTAGCCTGAAGGCTGAAGCCATAGGGCATAAGGCAAATTGCCTCGTTCCTATGTTGGGACTGCTTTGGGCAATGCTGCTCAACTCATCCCAAACCTGCTGGTGTGCAGGAACCCGTACTGAAATTTCTTTTTTTTTTTTGTGGGCTGTTATTACCCAGTATTAATTATTACATGTGGAGTGTGTCACATGTTGCTATCTTGCAGTATAATGATAGGTGAGTGCATGTCAATGCATGTCATAGCTTTCCCATACCACACTTGTGTCCTGTAGAGGTATGAACATCACAACGCTCTTCCTTCCTCTTTGTCTCACGTGCGCAATTATCCCTGTGGATGATGTGATGAACCGCTGGTGATGATTACTGTTTATATCTACTCACATGAACACTTAATATATTCATTACATTTAGCAGGATCAGATATAGTTTAAGGTGCTGCAGATTTCTTTGCTGTTTCATGGTGGGCAGGAGCACCAAACCTGGGGGAGAGATGAGAGGCAGGAGCTACGGCAGAGAGATGCTGGAGACCCCAAGAAATATAAGATGTGGGACTCTGCTCATCACAATCCATCAACTGTATAGCTAAAATACCACTTTTTGGTGGACTGACTCAAATAATGGTGGAAGATGAAGAGAAGAAGAGGAGGAGGAAAGGATGAGAAGATGAAGAGAGAAGATTAGAAGAGGAAGATAGGGGAGGCAAAAAGGAAAGGAGATGAGGAGGGGAGCACAGAACAAAAGATTAGGAGTGAGGGGAAAGGGGAGGGAAGATGAGGAGGAGAGGAAAGGAGGAAAGATGAGAAGAGGAGAGTAGATGAGGAAGGTAGGAAAGTAGAGAAGAGGAAAAGATGAGGGCGGGAAGAGAGGAGGGAAGATGAGGAGAGGATGAAGAGAGGAGGCAAGGTATGGCGAGGATGGCAGATGAGGAAGGTAAGAAAGAGAGGAGAGGAAAAGATGAGGAAGGGAAGAGAGAAGAAAGGACAAGGAGAGGAGAGGTGTGAAGGTAAGGAAGGGAGGAGAGAAGATAAGAAGATATATGCAGCGAAGAAGAAGATGAGGAGAAGAAGAGAGGACAAGGAGAGAATACATGTGAAGGTGAGTAAGGGAGGAGAGAAGATGAGAAGAATATGCGTTGCAAAGACGAGAAGATTAGGAGAGGAGGGATGAAGGAGAGACAACAAGATGAGGAGAGGAAGGGAGAATATAAGGAGAAAGGATGAGAAAGGGAGGAGAGAAGATAACAAGATGTGCATGTGCAGCGAAGAAGAGAAGAGAGGAAAGAGAAGAAGTGTGGTGGTGAGGAAGGGAGGAGAGAAGATGAGAGGATATGCAGTGAAGAGGAGAAGATGAGAAGGAGAAGAGCGGACAAAGAGAGAAGAGGTGTGAAGCTGAGGAAGGAGGAGAGAAGATGAAGAGAGGACGAGATGAGGAGAGGAAGGGAGAATATGAGGATGAGAAAGGGAGGAGAGAAGATGAGAAGATGTGCAGCGAAGAAGAGAAGAGGAGAAGAAAGGACAAAAGACAATGAGAGGAGAGGTGTGAAGGTGAGTAAGGGAGGTAAGAAGATGAGAAGATGTGCAGTGAAGACTAGAAGAGGAGAAGATTAGGAGAGGAGAGATGAAGGAGAGGACAATATGAGGAAAGGAAGGGAGAATATAAGGAGAGAAGATGAGGAAGGGTGGAGAGAAGTAGGAGAGGAGAAAAGATGAGCAGTGGAAGGGAGAAAATACTGTAAGTTCAGGAGAGATCACCAGAGGAGATGGTGGGGAGAGAAGATGAGGGTAGGAGGGGAGAAGATGAGGAGGGAAGAGGAGACCAAGAGAGGAGAGAAAATACAGTGAGTAAATGAAGAGAGGAGTTGGGCAGAGGAGAGAAGATGGGGAGAGAAGAGCAAAATGAGAAGAGATGAGGAGGATAGGAGAAGAGAACGCGAAGAGAGGAGTACAGGAGAGAAGATGAGGAGAGTAAAAGATGAGAATGGAGAAGATAAAGAGAGGTTCATTTTCAAATGTTTCCAATGAGACACATACATCTCCATTAAAAATCAATAGAAACGTATGAAAAAGAAAATCATTGCAATACAATGCATGCAAAAACACACAGTAACGCACATTTATGTTTGTTAACATGTATTTGATGCACAATTTTGCATACATATATATGCAATCACGTTAGTTACAAGGCCACACACGTGTCACACCTAAGCTATCCATACACAACACACAGATAAGCTTCGGCTTATCCTTAGATAACTCTGGCCCGGCTCCTTAAAGTGGAACTATAGCTGCATAGTTTTTGACTCTATGAGGGGAATTTATCAAAATAGGAGCAGGTAATCTGACAACCAATCAGCTTCAAAGCTTAACTAAACAAACTGAAGATAGAAGCTTATTGGTTACTATTGGCAGCGGCTCCAGATTCTGTCTGCTCCAGTTTTGATGTCCCTCTATGTGCCTCTTGCAATAAAAGCTTTTATGCTGTTTTTGTTTTTAACTGAGTTTTGACCATTCTTTTTTTTTATTAGTTGTGTTTGGTTGCTTCGGTGAAGTTATCATTATTTTTTCTTTTGCAATAGGTCTCACAAGGGGGCCCCGCCTCCTACTGCAGCGCTGAAGTGGGCTATGTTCTTAAATGACAATGCAGAAAAATGAAAATAAAATGGGCAAATGGTCGTAACACATGGCAAACATATTTCAGGTTGTTGTAATTACATAATGAAAATTTTTTTTTTGCCCAATTGCTATGGCTTTAGTACACTTCACAAGTTACTAAACCCCCCTAAATGCAATAGACTTATCATTACTGATAAGAATAATATACGTCTCTGTCTTCAAAACAAACAGCATTTGATTTGAAGCCAAAGCTTTAGATTTTCAATAAAGCAGATCTACGTAAAAATGGCGGCATGCCATCCACGTTTGGGAGACAAATATGAGAGAAGGATGGGCCTCAAGCGATAGCGGGAGAATGACCAGCAGTAGGAGGGGGCGTGGTGTGTACACCGGGTGTGTCAGTGGGCGGGTTGTGCAGGGGCAGGTGCGCGGATCTCGCGAGAGGTGGGAGAGCTGCTACTGCTGCTGCTAGAGCGGCCGGAGGACGGTGCGGGGTGAGCAGAGACATCGGGGACACCCGGAGGAGGTGTGATTCGGGTAGGCACCGAATACCGGAATATTACATTATTATCATTACGTATCATGTCTTTATTATAGGACACTGAGCGTTATACTGGGCTCTGCTGTGATAATAGCAATATGACAGTACAGCGCCGAGTGTATGTGTGCGCTATAATAATACATGACTCTGCTCTGTACTGCACTCACAGCTGTATTCATTGTGGCGATTGCTTCCGATTTATTAATATTATGTGTCAGGAAAGCACTCTGGGGCTTTTATATGAAAAGTGTGCTACTTGCCTAAAAAAATGTCCTTGTTGCCCATAGCAACCTCCAGTCAGTTCTGCAGTACATTGCTGAAGAGGAACTAAGAACTCTAAGTGGTTGCTATTGGCAACGCTTGATAGTCTTGCAGCACCTTTTTAAAGGCTATCTAAACCCTGCGACAAATAAATGTCATCTATTGCATCTGATCTGTCCTTAGATGTGCCGGCTGCATTGGTCTTCTTTTTTCAAATCTAAGTACTTTTTCTGCAAGAACAGAATATACATTCTGATCCTGCCAGAAATATTCTGTCCTCCTAACTTCCATTTAGGAGGAACAAGAGATCTCAAACCCTGTTATCAGCTTTCTCAGCTAGCTTCTGTGAACTAGAAAGCAACGTTCCTCTATGTAATGGATGTGAAAGAGGATGTTTGTAGTCCAAATCAGGAGAGCAGCCCAGGGTGACAACACTGCTCATCCATAGATCGAGGGCAATGAGTGAGCATTGTCACCTTAGGACAGGGAGTGTGTTACTGCCAGGGTCACCGGGTGAAAGTAAAACGAATCTAGCCGCCCGATCTAAGGACTGGAAACTGCAATATGTTATGTTTTGTTTGTGGGTTTGGATATCGTTTCATCAGCCCCTAATTGTGTGTGTATAGTGTCCTGTAGCTGTGTACTGACTGTCCTTTGTTATCACCTAATGCACAGTGCTGACACTGATCTCTGTATAGGGGAATGAACGTTGTTACTCTATAATATTGTATATACAAGAAGTGTGACACTGCAATGTTACTGCTTTGTGTCCCTCTGTAGAAGACAAACACCGTGTAATAGTACACAATACTGATACCGGAGGGACACTGACCTTCATCACTACAAGCTCAATTCACAAGGATTTCACACCAGGATAAGGATGTTTAGTCTAACCATGTGACTGTCATTTGTAAATACCATTGGATTCCTAGGAAGATAACTGTCAATTTTTTTTTATTAGGGCTGCGAAAATTAACGATTAATTCCTCGATTAATCATTAATTTTTTTTATCGATTAAACTTTTTTTGATCGGTACTCACCTGTCCGCCGGCTTCTGGGAGTTCCGTCGGAGATCCGGTGACGTCGATGTCCGTGACGGCTAACTAAGGGAAGGGGGGAGGAGTCCCGTCACGTAGATGTCCGTGACGTCACCGGATCTCCGACGGAACTCCCGCTTGGGCCGGTGAGTACTTGTTCTGCACGAGCGCCAGCAAAGGCATTGGCCTATACACATACAGCACAGCAATGAAGTAATAAAATGAACTAGGATCACACTAATCCAGCACGTTATTATTCTGAGTTGCCCCACTCAAGCGGCGGCCATATTGAGTGGGGCACGTGAGATTAATAATGTACTGGATTAGTGTGATCCTAGTTCATTTTATTACTTCATTGCTGTGCTGTATGTGTATAGGCCAATGTAGTTGGATCTGTATGTGCGTTATAATTAATTTGATTTTAAAAAAAATTAGATTAATCGAACAGGAAAATTGTAATCATTACCAGCCCTAATTTTTATAATGCCGAGGGAGAGAGGGGAAGGAAGAGGAGGGAGAGAGGGAAAGAAAGAGGGGGGGGGAAGAAAGGGGAGGGAGGGAGAAAAAGGAGAGAGGGGAAGAAAGAGGTGGATGGCTGCATCTCTCTCTTCCTCTCTCCCCCCTCCGCTCCCCCCCCAACTAATCGATAATGAGAATAGTTGCCAACTTTTCTCATAAGCGATTAGTTGTTGCAGCCCTAGGCACTGACATCTGTTACTATATATTTTATAGATTGCATTCATGATTCTATTTTTTTACTTCTTTACATGAGACAGAGCTGTGTGTGTATACATTGTAATAGTACACAGGACTGGCATTGCTCACTGTATTCTGTTATACTGGCACTGCACTGGCCTCTCCTAATACGTATCTTATATATAACTTATATATGACCATGTATTACTTTATTGCGCCTATACATTGTAATAGTACACAGGACTGGCACTACATCTTGTATACTGGCAGGGCACTGACCTCTGTTACTATATATTTTATATATAACATGTGTAAATTTTTTCTTCCTGTAAAATG